CGTGTATGTGAACACATTTGGGACTAACAGGGTTTACTAGAATCCCACCACTCCACCACAGAGTCACCGCAGTAGACGTTAGATGAGCGCTGTCGCTCCGCGGCACTTGTTTCATTCATTTCCACCTAAAAATCTCGCTCAAATCTTGCTCAAAGCTCGCTCAAAGCTTGCTCAAAACTCGCGCGATGTACCAACCGTACGTGTGTTTGTGCGTGTGTGTGTGTGTGTGTGTGCGTGCGTGCGTGCGTGTGTGTGTGCGTGCGTGTGTGTGTGTTGTCTGCTCGTGTCCGCTATGCCTCCGGACAAATCGTTCGTTAACGAACAACTTTTACTAGCGGATGTTAGTCAAACGCGCTACCGCGCTACGCACTCGCGATCAATCGAGCCCCGAACTTCAATCAAAGGCGCCGCTGCCGCGCACATGGCTGGAAAAACGCGGCATGGCTGTGTCAGATTTTTCGTGACATCACTGTACACGTGTATATCACATGTCAACAAGAAAACCACGGTATTGAGCTGGTTACGGTATGGTAATTCTAAAATATTACACTGCGATAATATTGCAATACCGGTATACCTCTGCAACCCTAGTATCCGTCCCTTCTCACACGCTCGATATGGAGCGAGTTACACGTGACAGTAAGATACACGTCCCGGCCTTCTCGGCGTGTGAGAAGGGACGGGTACCAGTCTAGGTGCGTTCACAGAGAAAGCTGCAAATGACATTCAGAATTCGAGCAAATCTGCATAAAATTTCAGTTTAAAAAATATTTTTTCAATTACATGTACGTTCCATTTATATTATTTGTATTCGTCAGTATTCGAATAATGACGACGGTCACACGCGAATAACGAATACGTATCGTCCAACTACAATATTCGTTGCACCGATTACACGAGTGTATCGATCATTACAGCCCTAGATCTCAGCACAAAAGAAACAAACATAAACCAAAGTGGTAAAATTTCTGTTTTATTTCATTTTATTTCCATTTCATATAAACCATAAAACACGACAGTTTGTTACAAATAATCATTGCAATGAGTAAATACATTATCACATGCATAAACCCTACTGAACTGCATAGAAATGCTGTGTTTGAGCATAACTCTCATATCCGGCCAAATCCCATATCGGAATGGGTGCCGGTCCCGACGTGGCCGGATAAAGGAGGTCGGACTGTACTTTTGCTGCAGGTTAATGGAATCGCCATTGGGTTCATGAGTCTCTGCAGCAAGGTGGACCTAGGCACACTCAACGAATGTTTCGAGCTGGATCATTTCAACGGCCTGTACAAACCTGATCCAGATGACAGTGTTTTCACACCAGACCTGACCTCTCTAGCTTCTGACTCTCAACCACCAGACCAACAAGTACGTAAACTATTTTCGCTTGTCTTACATCATGCGTTGCGTCTCGTTCAAACATTGCCGTTAATAACAGTTTGTTGAATGATGTTAAGCTGTGCGTGGTTTCTGCTACAGTCACAGCTGCTAATTTGTGCTTGATTTTCCATATTTAATTGAGTGGTGTGGCACCCGTTATAACCACTACAATGGACCTAGTTTCCCTTGAACATGTAGGGGTGTGCCCAACTCTTAAAAGCAGCTTGGTTATTGTTTAGATCCAAGTCGATGTGGAAAAACTAGTGAGTGAGGACTTGAGTGACATCTCCGTAACCGGGCAGCTGAGTCACAGCGAACGCATGTGCGACGCAGCTTGCATCCAGTCGCCGTCCGGTCAACGGCTGCGACCGCAGTCAGCGCAGAGCGAGTATCCTGGCGAATCGAACGCGTTCTGCATCCAGCTGTTCTGCATCAGCGAGAAATACGAAACTCGCTCCGTCGACTTCCTCGCGCGCGCCTTCGAAATGATGCCGGATCGCCAATTCTGCATCGTCTCCGTTCCGTTCCTCGTGCCTCACTTCCCGCTGCTGCAGTCGTTCACGCGCGCGACGCCCCGGCGCCGCAGCACGTTCCCGCACGAACTCTACGTGTTTCACGCGGCCGGCCTGCTCGACTCGTTCACGGTGAGCGCGCTGCGATGCGATTGCGACGTCGGCGCGGTAGCGACACTGGTGGCGCCACTGGAGGATTCGCGAGTGATCGTTGATGACGCGAGGCAGTGCATGGACTTCCGGAGAGATGCAGACGGGACGGAACTGCAAGCCTTCGTGGCGAAGTGCCTCGATCAGGTGAATCCATGACCTAGCAATGTAACGTAACAGCACTGTGCGAATGTAGTCGTGCGTGATACCTTGAAAAAGGGGGGTGGTGCCTATCCTAGAAACCCAGTAATTAAAAGTTTTAGTTGCAGGTTCATGAAGTCTTTGTTATCAAACCACTTTGCGTTATACTTACTATTTTGCTAAATCTGTATTATGCAAATGTGCAATTGTAACTCATAGATAGATCACAGTGAGCAGTTAATGTACGCAATAAGTCAAATGTCCCCGATTATGTTAAGATGTTCATCTTGTAAGATTTTGGGATTATATTTTTTTATAGAAATATACTCGTAAAAAGGTGACTAAGTGTGATTTCCTTGCACAGGTTGTGGGTGTCGCCGTGCTTCGAGCCGAGGAAGACATAGAGTACATTCGCTCACACTACAACATCGAGGACTTTGTCTACTTCAGTCATCATGCTCGGGAGGAGCACGCCAAGCTGTGCCACTTTGTTCTTAATCCCATCTTTCAACACCTGAGCAAACACTTCATGAAGGAGGTGCTCAGGCTTGCCCACAAGACCTGCTTGTATTACCGAATCTCCTCGCAGCAGGGTACGAGTTTTGCACACGCTTGTGGAGGACAAGCGTCGTAAGCGCGCACCCCTAACCGTTACAAAAAGCGCATTGTAAACCCGTTCGTCTTTACGACGAGCCCGTCTGATTTGTACCCGACTGTAACTGACTTGCACTGTTATGTCTTGTCGGAAGAACAATAACCGAATAAGAGAATACGTTTAATACAACTTTACTAACTCAAAAAACAGAATGGCTGGAGCTGTTACAAAAACAGTACCTGTGCGTATCATGCGCTGCTAGCAAGTTTTGACACAAAGCGAGTGCAACGAACACCTGCTGCAGCTTGCTTCACCTACATTCCAGAAGTCAAACTTTAGCACTAACTATAATTTAACAGAAATAGAAAATAAAGAGTGATTTAATTACATCATGCGCGACTCGTCTTTTCGATGCATAGATGGCGCCTGCGACACGTCCAGGGAGCGCCACACGTTGGTTACGGTGCTGGATCACCTTGTGCCCGTGCGAGCGCGCAGACAGATCGTCTACCCGCGGGAGGTGATCGGCGAGAATCTGCCGTCGGAGAGGGTGCTTCAGCAGAACGATCAGTATGCACTCTGTCACATGAATAGGAAGCTCACTTACGAGCCGAAGGTGATCATACGATTCAGAGACCTGATATATATCGCTGTCCTGCTTATCTGCAGTCGTCTTGCTGCCTCTCAAACTCTTATCTGATTATTATTATTATTGTTATTATGATGATGATGATGATGATGATGATGATGATGATGATGGTTATTATTATTATTATTTGATTATGAAATTATTATTGTCTGGAGTAACTGCAGCCAGGAAATCTGCACAGTCTGCACATTTGTGTGGGAATTGTGATTGTAACTTAATTAATTTAATTGTTTTATAGGCGTGGATACCTATGTTGCATTTATGAGTTATATTCGGGATGTTTGTTTTTATTCTAGGTGGTCATCAACGCTCGAATCGTTATAGTCGGAGTCGCTGATACCACGATTGCATTCCTTGAAACACTTGCCTTTTCTCCGCACCTACGTTTCAATAACATCACTGTCATATCACCACATGGTCTACCGAAAACTAGGATACAGAAGGATAGTGAACCACAGTTTTTGCACAACAGGTAGAGTAATAATCTTGAGCAACAATATATATATAATACTCATTGGTACTTGGTAGGAAAAATGACGAGTACCGTATTTGGCGAATACTCATGGCAAACTACCCGGTACTCATACATTTGAAAACCGATGAGTAAATACTCATCCGATCCAAAAATTATCTGGTATTTTTTCTTGGAGGCTGATATGTGTGGGAAACCAGTCAATCACAACAGCAAACAGTTTGGGGTGGAAGTTTTAGCTACAGCATATTGCTTGTAGAAAAATAAATTTAATAGTATATATATGTAATGTATATATATTTATTTATTATATCTTATATATTAAAGTCGTGAGTCTGTTGCTTAAAGTTACCCGAGGTTGTGAGATCACCAGGATAGTACGAAATACATTCAGAATATATGCATAATTGATTACAGTTATAGCACAATTCATTGTGGCACATACAGTGTTATTTCATAAAATGCTTTAGCAACTATTTATTTGCCCATTCTAGTATACATCCTACATGAACCAATTTCAAAGTGTAGAGAAGAATATGCATATATGGCTTTGTCTTGATCTTGAATATATTACTCAGTGCACACTGGAGTATTTATCAATGCTATGTTGTTTGAGGAAAAGGATCGATCATATGTGATGATGGGAGACAATAAAGAGCTTGGGGTTCTTCTGGCACGGCGTACAGAGTCGCTGGATTCAGCTGGAATATCCCACCTTGTGCAACACTCAACGGAAGAGCTGTTTGGGCATGTTGATATCACAAATCTCATGTAAGAATGTCATATATTGCTAATTATTGCTCACTAGTATTTTATTGTCAACAAAGGTTTTTATGAGAGATTTATCATTTATATGCATGTTAAACTACATTGTGTTTCAATGAAGCAGCTAGTTCTCTTGGTAGTAATTAATGCACCAAAAGGACCATACATCCTGTATACTGCAGCCTGTTCTTAGTTGTCACCTTGCTATCCACGATACACAACTGCTGGTCAATTGCTAAAGTTAGTTCTAGAACTACTAGAGAAATCTCGCACTGATGCATTTTTGCATGTGACCAGTAAAAATGTAACCATGTGTAAATACGTGTCCAATGTCACCTCTTTTTGTGTAAATTTAGAAAGCTTTTGATCTGGTATCAGCAGTTTATATACCAAGGATAGATGTTTTTCTTTGTAATTAAATATTTAGTGATAGGAACAAGATAAGAGTGCATGTGGGATGCGATGTTTGAATTTCAGAGAAAGGGCTAATTTGGCAGTAACTTTACTGAACAATAAAGACGAAATTGTTGGATTCACTGCTTTTCTGGACTATCCAAACACAACTGAACATGTGGATCAAGTAAGTAATTATTATTATGCAATATAATGCAGATATTTTTACACCTGGGATATCAATAAATTTGTACATGGTAATCCATGATCCTGGGCAATAAACTAAGCACTGCCTAGCAGGATTAACTGTCTTGCATGTAAATTAAGCATTAATGTAAACTCATTCTGAAATCAGATGTGTGAAGTATACAATTCTCTGCATAAAAGTTTATAAATTGTATTGAGAAACAATTGAAACTATCAATGTAGTTTATCATTTTTAGCTCATCTGACATATTCAGATGCAGCTTGTAGAATCGCATGATTGTCCGTCCGTATACGTGTTGATCAGTAAGTGATTGATCGTACGTGTTGATCAGTAAGTGATTGATCATAGGGGGAGCGTGTTGATCAGTAAGTGATTGATTGTACATGTATTATTGTAAGTGATTGATTGTACGTGTTTGCAGTGAGTGCTACACGGTGGAGCAGTTGCAGCAGCTTGCTCTTCACACGTGGGTGAACGCCGTGCGCGGGAAGGTGACCGCGATCGACCGCGACGACAAGTACGTCGTCGTGGACGGTGCAAGTGTGATGCACTACGACTACTTGGTGCTGTGCACCGGCCAGCAATACGCGCTCGCAGTCCCGTCCGGCGCTGACGTTAGCAGACTCGCTACCACTGCAGATGTGTCCATGACCTCGATCAGGTATTCATGTGCTTGATTGTTAACCTGCGATATACAGGTTATATATTATATATTATATACAGAAAATATTGAAATGACAACAACTGGAGGCATAATTATGCACTAACGTTTTCAATTTATTCTGAAGAAATAAAGTGAAAACGTTAGTGCTAAGAAGGTCTCTATGGCTTCTTTAGGGCAAAAACTGGAAACTTCCATGGGGTACTCGTAGGGTAGGGTAAGAATTAAGATGTTTTAACATATTCAACAAGTTTAAGATATTCATTTAGAGTTAGTTGTATACGTTCTAGCAATACCCAGGGAGACAGACCCGTTCAGTAATATTATTTGTACTGTTTCATAATTGCAAGTCATTCAGATCACTTCATGCCCACGTGCAAACATGCGTCCAACAAGAGAGTGACAATGTCCACTATATACCCTATGTATACGAGTTTTAGTTGTCGGCGAATCATCATAAAAACGTCACTGCATTGCGTTAACTCACGACAGTGCTGCCAATGTACATACGCTATCGTGACATTTTTATGAGGTGTTACCTTGACTTTTTCGCCACATGCAAGGTACAAAGCGGATTCCCACTATCTTTCTAAATGGATGTTCGCTATTGACATGGATTAAATGTATTTTTCTGCTTTACTATTTCTTATGCCTGTACACTGGTATTTTAACTGCATTACTATGTTGATAGGAAACTAGCAAGCAAAAGACAAGTATGGCCAGACAATGTATACGTTATAAACGATGACTTGGATGCCCGCATCGCCACCGAGTGTCTAAAAAAGGACTTTGTCGACACAGATGGTTATGTTCTTTATATGCTTATGACATCTTAACACTAATGTAACTGTAAGGGGGCAGACTTCTAGCAAAAATTCAAATGCTAAATATAGGGTAAGCAGTGACCTTTCATTAACATCATGTCATAATAACCTAATTTCATGTCTTCTGGCTTTAAATGCCATAAATCAGCATATTATCTATATAACCTTCTTCCATTTTGTAATAATTAACGTTGTATTTTGTCTATTAAAGGTAAGGCTGTTGTGTACGGATCAACACTTGATGCTTTTGCTACGGTTCACGCATTGCTAACTTTGGGTATCGAGGGGAATAGGATCACATTGGTGGAGCCACCGTACAATTACCAGGTACATCACTACTCATAAGACCTGATTGCATCATATTTCAATGAATGAAAGCATGCGCTATTATAGTAGGCAGTGCTGTTCAGCATGCTTCTCATCGTTTTCCTGCGTATAAACGGCCAGGAACTAATCTTACCAGCTAGCTGGCACACAATACATCGTGATAAGTTGAAAACAGTGACAGTTCACATTTACCTCATGCGATTACTACTGTCACATGTATCGAGTGCCGTAGGCTCATTAATGTTTGCGGTAAATAGTTGCGGTATTGGTAGCGACATCACTGGCCAATCCAGGAGGAGCCATCAGGGTCATCCCTTCCCCTCCTTCACTCGTAGCTGTTTGACGACAAAATAAAACAAGTAAAAAAGCTGGTGGTGTCATTTATGAACATTTTAACTTTCCACTTTGTTCGTTGTTTTCCAAAACTTGTCCTGACTAGAGGTTCACATTTACCATCTAAAGCAATAAAATGTGCTGCTGCTTAACAGAGTGCTCTCACAATACTCTTTCAGTGTGAGTGTGTGACCTGCCTTGGGCCCCTTCCTGGATCTGCAAAATGATTTGCTATATTTATTTAATATATTTAATATATATAGCGTTGCTATATTCTTGCCCCTTTTATGACCAAGTTATGCGTATGTAAACACTGCATTTACTACTTTCAGCCATCCTGCTTCAACAATAGCGGTGTGGAAGAAGCAGTTAGGAAGCAGCTGAAGCAGCTGGGAGTGGTCCTGTACTCTGGATACCTGCTCGCGCAGTGGAATGAAGGATCGGTTACCGTTACGAGTCTCTACTCAGTCTCGTTCACCTCCACTACCAAGCCCATCGAAATCGATTGCACGGTAAGCCCTAACAGTTGGGAAAGCACGGCATCTTGGATTAGTAATTAATTTTGTTTTGAGACAAATGAAGCCATCAATGTTTCGTTTGTCAATGTAATTGTTTCGTTTATCTTTAGCATTACAATGTTATTCATTTTTAGTATGTAGCTATTTTTTCATTAATGAAAAATCTTATAATATGACGAAAATTTTGTAATATCATATTATGTTCATAAATTAAGTCGTTTATAAAAGTCATCAAACGTTTGTAATCATGGGAAATGATTCCATTATTCAGTTATGCATGGATCACTATTAGATATGTGCAATACATAGATAGATATATTTGGAATATCTAGTAAAAACTCATGTTAAATGTAATGTAATAGCACTGAGAGCAAGGCCAGTAACATCTTGTCATTAATTGTTGTATTTCAGGCTTTCTTCTGTTTCCAACAAAAATCTGTGGATTATGATGCTTTCAAAGGTATGTTGTGTGTATATAATCCAGAAACTTCATAACAATTTTACTGGTTATTGGTATGTATGTAAGCAACTAATATCCACCCATTCATCACTAACTGGTGAGGACTCACAGACAGGTTTGAAGGAATGCACATTTGGCAATGAGTAGTTTTTCTCCTCTAAAATCTCTGGCCTAAAATTATAAACATGCAATTAATCCACTTCATTAACAATCGAAAAATTTTATTCCCGCAACTGACAACCGGTGAAAAGCGGTGTGTGATGTCACTTCTTAATCGTATGTACATAGCTATCAATAACTCATGCCTCGTCTACGATGGGAAGCTGGTGATCGATGCAACATTTCACACCAACGACGTGTGCATCAGGGCTGCAGGACCACTCACAAAGTTTGCACGCAGATATCACATTGAGCCATGGACGCACACCAACTTCAACTCGAAAGAGGTCGGAATCCATGTAAGCTTCTATTGGATCATCTCCAGCAAGGCAATATATCCATGATAATAAGTTGATATATGTAGCGCCTTGGTGGTGTATTATTGCTTGGAGGTCAGTTTATTGGAATTCATTTGGATGCGTTATTGTAAAAGGTTTTTATGCAAAACATTGACTCTCTTATGTAACATGCATCTGTTGCAGTTAGCGATGGCAATGTTGGAACTCGTAGATCCCACCTTGATGATGCAGACCAAGCCATCTGTGGAGGAACACAACCTGATTCCTATCTACCGAAGTCCTTGCATTCAGACAGCCATTTTGCCAGGTGTGCCACGCATATATATATATATATAATTACAACTAGTTAGATGGGCACGCAGAACGTATATGAATATATGTTATTTAAATTACTATAAGTATATGCATGCTCTGGAACTTACTTGCTAACGTCCATAGAATTTCTATAACTTGCCGCAAAAACTAGAAGTAGTGAGAACGATTAATGTTAAAATGCATATTTCTTTTTTTCCATGATTTTATTTGTTATTTATAATGTATTATATTTACGCCTCTCTCGAGTAAAAGGTGCATGTGAATTATTACCAGTTATGCATGTGGGTAGGGGATTCATAGTAGATAGTTTTTCTAAACAACACCAATACCATAAGGTTTTTTAGAATACCGGAGAACTACAATGTTATGAATATAATTCGTTCCAAAAATGCCAATTGCCACCATTATGATATGAGGCCTGTGATTTTAGGTGGTACACATTATCTGCATGTCACAAAGCCAGGCCCTACAATGGCACTCCATGTCCAAATGGCCCAACCAGATTATGTGAGTATTGGTAGCCACCAGATTTTACTACCACTAAAATCTTCAGGCTAACCATATCATATTTAAATGTATAAAATTAGAATCAATGCATAATAAAATTTCAGAAATATCACATTTCTGACCATGCTAAAATGTTTGATTTCATAAAATGATGTACACACTGTCATGTGTAATGCAGATTACATAAGTAGTGTAGTTCACAATGTCTCAATATATATTTTTCCATGTTTCTTGTGTTCTTTTCTCTGCTGCGGACTGCAGGGTACCGTACTGTCGACAGGCAGTCTAGAGACGGAAGACTATTTTCGCCTGCACATTAACAAGTTCCAGACTGTCGAGACAATCACCTGCTACTCTAAGCTTGTACGTGTTCACGATGTGTAATATAATATTTGATGACCATTTATACACCACCATAAACATAATTATATGTACTATAAAATTATATACATATATTCATGATACCATCTATTTTAGCCTGTAGGCGCAACTTTAAGTGTGCGCATACATACGCATGCACGCACGCGCACACACATATTTTGCTTTTATGCTATACTTGTTTTGTTTTGGCAGTATATCCTTTTAATATGAACATGAAGTTCTAAATTCTGTTATAGCCAATTGATGTGAGCAACCTGATATGCTTATACGGCCTACATGAGAACTATCTGAATAATATGCTGTCTAGATTCAACGAAGGGTCCATAAACGACTTTTACAGGTAAGTTGGTCTACATCTATTACCTTGATTATATATATTTGTTGTCAGTAGATTATTATTATTATTATATATTTTTTGTCAGTAGGAAGTCAACTCTAGGAAGTGCACTTTGTCCGCATTGTCTTAGTGTAACATTGCCGTGGCACGTGTAACAGTGAAATATATTAATAATCATGTTTGAACAGCCTCGGCCACGTATGCTACTCATGTGTTTATGACTTGCAACAGTTACTTTAGACAAGCGTGGAGCATGGCCGTGTTCCACGATCGATTCCCAGACTTCAGGGAGGAGGTGAGAGAGGTGCTGATGAATCGCTTGGCTAATGGAAATCCTTCGCTAGAGGAACACGTTCGCGGTCTCATCGAAGAGGATATGCACGTACGCATAGTTAAACTCAAAGCCCTGCTTTATTCAACCAGGCTCTGTGACTGTTTCACATCATAGGCGCTACAAGTTTCCTTCTCGCAAGAAGCGAGAAGGTAACTTGTGGTGGTTAAGCCCTGCTGAGATCTATCCGTTGCCATATTTATTTGAGACAATTGACCTGCCGATGCACCTATGAATCCACGACAGTCCATCTGCAGTCTGGCAAACTGTCTATCTAATCATGATCAGTGTCGGACAGGACATTGTAAAAACATTGCTTAGTAACAAAGTGCTGTGAGGATCGACATACTGACAATAACCATGCATTTACACATATAACCAGTGTGAGCTTGACTGGCCTAGCATCAATATCCAAAGGGGGGGAATTGTTATCGATCTTGCTGAGGTGGTTAGTTATATGTTTAGACTATGTGGTTTTCCAGTAAATATTGGCTGCAATCACCTAGATTTCTTCTAGAAAGGTTATAAGCTATTCTGTTTAAATTAAACTACTTTTAAATTGACTACGTCACGAATTTTCTATGGTAAAATTTGTAAAAATTGTGTTGCCATTTTTTTACATTAAAAGTAAGAACTAACGGGACTAAACATATTGTCAAATTCTTGACTGAATTGACTTGACAAAAACCTGATAAGATTGTTTCTCAACTAGTTCAAAATCGAAAAAACCTGGACGATTTGATATTATGTTCCTGACATTAATTGCTTGCTATGGGCTATGTATGAGTCACGAGTGTATATTCACATCAAACAATATAGTAAAACAGGAAGTATAATGCAGCAATTTAACCATAAAAAGTGAACAGAATTACTTATATTTTGTGAAAAAGCGACAGGAAGTATAATGCAGCAATTTAACCATAAAAAGTGAACAGAATTACTTATATTTTGTGAAAAAGTGGAAACAGTGTTTTTTTATTTTTACTATTTGCGGTGACGTAATCACTTTAAGTGGATCCACTTTTGCTTTGCAGCTGAGCAAGGGGCAGCTGGCGGATCTCGCTCATGAGTTCAAAACAAGAGGCTATCAGAAAGATATCGAGATGAAGCTCTTGAGTTTTGTAAACTATAACCAGTACCATCTACCAATGTACGCTCACCCAGGTATGTTGTGAGGGGCCAACGACATGCATAAAACGTGCATTTCAGTTTGTAGTATAGCAAAAGCCATTCGTTTTCTTAACGGATCAATGTCCAGACACGTGTGCTAGTGGATACGTTTTAAAGCCATTTCTCGTATCGTTTTTACGTCAATTCGTTTATGCGGTACTGGCTTGTATTTGCTCGTGTGCTTTGGTCAGTGTCAGGATTGTAGTCTATTTTTTCTTGTATTGGTACTGGTTCACACACTGGATGTAGCAGTTGAATAAGCACACCTTATCACATTCAATACCAATTTTCCTGACAGCTTTCATTCTTTCCTTGTAACGTTTTGGCTTCAGTTTGTCAAAAAGGCATTGCATCAATTGCCATGTGATTATGTATAATAGATATTTAGATGTGAATGATTATTATATATAGATGTTTAGCTTTTGCCCAAGACTAAATTTAGAATTACCTTTCCTTTTATCTTGTTCTAGAAACAACAGAAATTATTAGATGTTATTTAGATGATTACTAGAAACAATTGAATTGTTATTAGTGCCAAATCTGTTATGAATTAGCAATGTGAAGTAGACCCCAAAATAAAAATAAATCCTCCTATGCACTGTCATTACCTCTACAACATTTTATTGAATCAATAAATGCATAACTTTATATACAGTACTGTTATATACATGTTTTTTGCAAGATTAAAAATTTCACATAATTATAATTTCTCGAGATATTTAACAACTTCAGCACACCATATGATATATAAGTGAATTACACTTGGCAAATTTACTGACTCTGTGAGCATCTTGGTCAAACACTACACCAATACCTGCTCCTTCACACAGCTGAAAAATTCAAAGAACCATTCAGACCGAACACTCACACATCTACACAAGCAATACATATTTATTATATATCATATATATATATATATATATCATAGTGACTATTATTTACAATCCAACTAGGATGACCTGTGAGTGACCAACTATTCTACATGCATTCCCAAATTAGCAACTCTGTGATAATAGCATATTACTTGAGTTTCAACTTTGCAATTGTAATCATAGATGCGCAACTATTCACATAGGACTGGTGGAATGCAATCTCTAAGTATATCCTTGACCATCGGAGGCAGTGAATCGGGAAACTTGACATCAAACTTGACAACAAGATCACCGCGGCGACCGGCTACTTTCGAGTACGGCAAGCCTTTACCCTCGATGCGCTTGACAGAGTTCGGCTGGACTACTTCTGTCAAACGTATAGTCACCTGTGGACCTTCCAATGTTGGAATGTGCAATACACCTCCACAGAGTGCCTGAAAAAGGGAAAACGTTCAGCAATCAATACATTTTTAAGCACATCATGTTCCCTTTATTGTGTACAATGGTAATGTCGTGTTCCTCAAAATCATGTAGATTTGTGAATAACAGGGGTGCAGTAGACCTTGGATACGGCTACATAGTTCGGGCCATGAACCCCTTCCTCTTGAACTGAAAGCAGCTGACTCGTACACGTAACAACCAACGTGTAATTAAAATGTTAAACACTGCCCTACATGATTTATTGATAAGTGATTTGCCTGTAAATTAAAGTAATTATGCACGACAGGGGGATCAAAACTGATGATGTTAATTTCTAGCTGAAAGTTCCGGTTTCTGTGCAGAACTATGCTTCTGGATTTTTTGGAAGTTGCGGTTCCCAAGACATTTTTTATCATGATAACTGAGCATTTAACTGTGAAAACTTGGGCCGGTTCCATTTATTAATTATGGTTTATCCGATTATCATATGAGCACAGCTGTGAACTGGATGCTTTTCACTGCATAACAGCACTGAGTAACATGGCCTCAAATGGCTGTAATGGGGATTTTACACATTTTTGCTTTGTCTGGTGGAGTACTAATGTGCTTGTCTGGTACTGGTGCACTATAGAAATGGCAAAAATTTGTAATTTTGTACATATGAGCACTGATGACTACGTATAACCAGAGAAGACTTGTCAGTTCTGTTAATCACATTCACATTTCTAGAACAGACTTAGTTACCTCTTTTAGTCCAAGCTTTGCCACGTAATGCAAATCGCTGCCGTTCCTTGAGAACACTGGGTGCGGTTTATCCCTTATGACAAACACCACATCAGCCGGAATGGTATTGGGACGTTGGTCGCCCTCTCTGGTAAAGGTAACTTTCGTTCCTGCCTTCCAGCCCGGCTTGATCGATATTGTGAGCACTTTTTCTTCTGGTCGAGTCTGTGCGGTGTTTGGTATTAGCACTTGGCGAGTAATTTTCATTTTCTTTGTGGTGCCTCTCAGAATGTCCTCAAGGTCGACCTGGAGGTCATAGCTGACGGGTTTATCTGTCTTCATTACTTTCGGTTTGGGGCCCGTGTATTCCATATAAGGCTCCCACTGCATGTCTTCTGTTGTGAAGAAACCACCTTGCATGCCACCTGGTGAGAAGACGTTACTCTGTACTCCCTCTGGTGAGAAGCTACTAAAGCATTGCTGCTGCTGCTGATGGCCTGGACCAGCACTGCTAAAAAACTGTGCAAACGGATCGATTCCGCCAAAGAATCCCTGGAAGGTCGAGCGCGGATCTCTGCCGTAGGTGTACGACGTGAAACCACCACCCGGTCTTCCGTCAGGAACGCCTCTCTCCAGACCTTCTGATCCATACTTGTCGTACACGTCTCGCTTTGTTTTGTCACTCAAAACTTCATACGCTTCTGCAATGTCCTTGAACTTTTCTTCAGCGCCTGCACTCTTGTTTTTGTCTGGATGGAACCTGAGAGCCATTTTACGGTACGCTTTTTTAATATCGTCTACCGTCGCATTGCGACTGATACCCAGACTGGCGTAGTAATCTTTTCCCATTTTGCAAGTCTAAAAATATAAACAAGATATGAATGTAAACAGATATCAATTAATGATCCACTCACTGACAGTGCAAGAAAATTTATTTTAATGCAAAAGATGGGACCCAAATTCCAATCCTAGTTAAGCACTCTGGCTTAGTTTAGCACATTTGCAAAAAAGAGGGTCAGGGTCCCAAACTAGCTTTGCACAAAAGATTGTGCCACCCTAGAGTTAATGTTAGTTAGTTGAAAGTTAAATACTACCCGCGCCTATATGGCGCATAGGGCGGTGCCTATCTCCGTTTCAATCCCCCTGAGGCCCCGCAGCTGCTTTCACTGGAAATGCTACAGTAGGGGGTTAGTCCACTGGTAGCACTGCGAGTTAACTTGCCACATAATATCTCTATTTGCTGAATGCTAAGCAGAGAAGCCGAGTGTACCATTTTTCAAGTCTTTGGTATGACCTGGCCGGGAGTTGAACCCCCGACCTTCCACATGCGAGGCAAGCACTCAACCATTGAGCCATCGCTGCGGTCAGAGTTGATGTTACCGCCTTCAAACTACCATCTTCGTTCTAGCGCTGAAGAGTTATGCTGGGTTAACACCATCAACTTTTTCTTGTCAAGTTTTCAACTTTTCAACCTATCGACCGAAAGTCGGCAGTGGCCAGTGTAATTTGTAAACGTAAGGCCCCAATTAAAAAAATCTTTGTTTGCCCTCACCCGACCCAGGCTGAAAAGTTTGGGTAGGTAGGTAGGCTTAATTCTTTTTTTGGAGGGGGGTCTTTTTAGAAAGTCAGCATGGTGTCTACATGTTCAGGGGTGCTTGTGTGGAGATACCTATTATGTTGAATGTTTGTTTTGCTTGGTACATATAATGTATTGCATACAGATTTATATATTGTACCGTGATACAATTTGTAAAAAAAAAGAATGGGAAAGATCAATAAAAATGTTTGCGGCGGCGCCTTTTTGGCGGGTCGGTCGGGCGAAGGCCAGCAAACAATATTTTTATTATGGCCTAAAAGTTAGCGCCCAACTAGTTGAGAGATTAGAACATGTTCTATTTTCTCAACTTTTGGTCAGTGAGTTGATTAGCTCTAGTACTATAGCCCGCTTACATTAACTGCCGCTGGCGGCATTACATGCCGCTGTAATGCCGCTGGCGGCATTACATAACCAGCGGCAGTTAACGTAAGCGGGCTATAGTACTAGAGCTACCAGCGGCAGTTAATGTAAGCGGGCTATAGTACTAGAGCTATGAGTTGATCAACCTTTTGCCACTCAGCCACTCAGATAATAGCAATCAGGGGGTGTGTCACACCACCCAGGGAAGATTATTTGCACGCTACAATCTCACAAAGATTACTCTTCAAAGCCCAAGGGACTAGTATAGAAACAAAAATATATATACTAATTACTATTACTAAAGAATATAACCCCATATATATAAGGGTTATATAAAGAATATAACCCCATAAGAATATAACCTCATAAAGAATCGTCTTCAAAGGTACAACGAAGACGGAGAGACAAGTTAATCAAACCGACATTTCAACACTGCGGATCGCAGTGGGAAAACCGCAAATTTGCAATTAACTAGGAAGGCAATTCCAATAGGCAATACGGAATGACACTGGCACAGACAAAACAGACGCTATCTTTAATAATATGTTTAGTTTTACAATTACACTTACGCAATAAACAAGGATGCCGCTACGGCGCTACGCCACAAAATCACAACAAAATGGGCAAATTATTCGGCTAGTGTCGTCGCGGTGAAAAACTTCTTACCTGTTCCTTGGTGTTCTATTCTGAATGCGAATGCCAAACGCTAAACAAAACACCTCCTCAGCCTCCGTGTACGAACTACGAAACTGTTTCCTTCCACTCGGGTTTTCAGACGTTATGTCAGTATCGACTTGAACCATCTAGAACTTTCGAGAATTTGTCAACAAATGAGTAATCGGACACTAGCGTAGTCGCCTACACTAGCACCACCCGACGGCAAGTAAGTTTACCATTCGCGTTGTATGTCATTTGGCACCATATAAATAATAATTTCAAGAGCTCATAATAGAGAATTATTATTATTCTCTCTATTATAAGCTCTTGATAATATAGGTGTCTCTAAAGAGATATTTTATATATATATTTCCACACCTGTCTTCGTACCCTTTATCTATTTTATGTTTTTTATTTATATTATCTTTATGTAATGTGTGGCCGTAATAGTATATGTCATTACAAGTATATTTACGTGTTAGTATTATTTCACGATGTTGTTATACATCTCGAGAAGAGAGAGAGAGATGTGGGAGATTAAGGAAAGGCGGTAGGCAAGATAGCTAAAACGCGGTAGATGAGCTGAGAAGTAAGACTGCGGGGACAAGGGAGGCCAGGGCTGTGGCCAGGGGGAGGACGGGAGGGAACGAAGTAGGGGTTTCGTCTACTAGGGCGCTCTCCTAAAAACACAGGTCTACTGATAACAATTTATTACATAAATCTATGCTGAGATATCCCCTAACCATATTAAATGCATATTCATCATAAAATATAACTCCTCTGGTGAGATATTGCGCATGCGCTGACACACAAACGTAGCCAAATTGTGTACTGACTGGTATATGCAGCGGGCACCTTACATGCAAGGTCTTCTTCCTATTTCTTACGTGAGATCTACTGATAGAATGTTATTATATAAATCTATGCTAGGATAACTCCTCTTTATTTCAAATGCATAATTTAAAAAAAATAGTATTCTTCTCAGGCATATTACGCATGCGCGAGCACCGTTTCAGGCGTGCAGTACGGACTCAAGAAAACTGCATTGTTATTACTGGTCACTTTGTAGGTGTTATACGAGATATGGAAAGTTAGTTTAGGGTCAGATACCTGCAGGCAATTAAAGATCATGTACGGGTTTTGGTAACGTGTCAGGACGTACTATAGTATCGCATATCCTCAGGGCAAATAGCAATACACATGCACTCACCCGACAGACTCGCCCGTGTGGTAGCGTCCGTCTACGCATGTAGCTATATGCTCCTCTCTATCTCCCACTCCCCCCTCTCTCTCTCTTCTTCTTCGCGCGCGCGCGCGCGCTCTCTCCCTCCTCTCTCTCTCTCTCTCTCTTTCTCTCTCTTTCTGTGTGTGTGTGTGTGTGTGTGTGTGTGTGTGTGTGTGTGTGTGTGCGTGCGTGCGTGCGCGCGCGCGTGCGTGCGTGTGCGCGCGCGTGCGTGCGTGCGTGCGTGCGTGTGTGTGTGTGTGTGTGTGTGTGTGTGTGTGTGTGCATGTGTATGGAGGCGTGCATACATCTTTGATTCTCGCAATCTTTTGATTTTGACAAATTCTGATCTCGTGACAATTGTATTTCTAAATAGTTAGAAGAATTGCGATTCACCAAGTACTCAATAAACGTATTGTTGCACAATATTACATTGTTTTACAAGTTTATGTTGTACAATGTTCCATACAATGTTATCGCGTACACTGTACATTGTATTGGTTATTTGATGAATTTTACCAGAGCATTTAGGAAATACGTATCAACGATATATAGCTCTATGACTTTACTTTACTAAGTTTGTTCACATCGCAGTTGGTAGATGGCAGCACTGCTACCTGACGGACGCTCCTGATGGGAAGTTTCTTAAGCAAAACTTTTGTGTTTTGGTTTTAGAACACAACTTAAACTGCAATTAAAACGTCGACGGTTAGTTTTGTTGTTGTTATGGAAACTACTCGTTAACGTATCTATATATAGTTAGTAATGCACTGATAATAGCCACCCACCTTGATGTTATCTGCCAGTGCCAGTGCCATTACTGCTGCAGATGGGGTCGTTGTCAAGAGGAGATAATAACACATGTGTTATTATCTACTCTTGGTCGTTGTCCTATCCGTATCAGGTACTACAGATATGTACCTGAAGTAGTTTTAGGTTGTTTAGTATTATGTTTATATTTTTATATGAGATACGTTTAGGGTTAGGGCTAGGGTTAGGGTACACTTCTGTAGTACACTTGACTTGTGTAGTGGCACTTGTTAACAACTTACAACTTTGTTTTACAACTTTGTGTTACACACTGGTACACTTTGTATACATATATGTACCTCGGGTACATATCTGTAGTACGACAACGACCCCTCAGTGACGTAGTGTTAGTTTTATTGTGAGATGCACCAGCAGAGACTGAATAAATTTTTAGACTAGAGTAGAATGCAAGGCCCAAGCCTAGTTTAGCACCATGGATTAGTTTAGCACATATATGCGAAAACAAATGTGCGGGTCCCAAACCATCCTTGATTCGAATTGAATTTCATTCTTATTACATCTATACTCACATGAGATTGTGAGTGTACTACCCATGTTGTTGATAAAATTGATAGTACTAAACTAATGACAAAGTAGCTCTAGTAGTAGTACGAGTATGTATAAGGTTGTAAACCACCTCATAGCAATACCGGCGAATAGATATCTGATCCCGGGGATGTCAGGTACCAGATCGAAAACCCTCAAATTTCGGCACCTGCACTGCAACAACAACACATTCAAATTCTCCTTTTTTCCCCCGGATGATTCTAATCTGGAACAACCTACCAGTGGGTATTGTGGAAGCAACGGACGTTGACATTTTAAAGTCAAGGCTTCACTCCCACATGTACGCGAACCCACTTTAAGAGGAAACCAGTTGCATTGCACTCACATCATTATGTAGATCAATAAATTGTGCCCTAAAATTTTTTATATTCTGAGGCTATTTTAGGGTTAGGAAAACCTAAAATAACATCAGAATATAAAAATTTTTAGGGCACAATTTATTGGTCTAATCATTATGCACCTGTTTGTTTATTGGGTTTATCCCTGAAGGCACCTACTACCTTGTCATTATATCCAGTGTAGTGGACACCAACAAGTACGAGAACATAACATAACATAATAGTAGTAGTACTATAGCCCGCGTACAGTTCTATTACGAATGCTAGGGACCAACTTATTCACGGTTACTCGTGGCTATAAAACCTCTGTGGTAGGCAATTAACGCCTCTTATCCGAAGTGAATACCGGTATGTCTTAAGTTATATCAGCTACTAAAATGTAACCTCTAACTATCGTTGAAATGGTCTGCTTGCGGTATTTCTTGTGAACAAACATTGTTTACGAACTTCAAATGCCCATTTTTGGTGGCGTTGCAGCAGCGCCAGTCAGCGGGTTGGTCCCTAGAAGCATTCGTAATAGAATGTTCTATAGCCCTGCGGCAACTGTACGCGTGCTATAATACTAGAGCTAAAACTATTGCATCCAAGGTAGTACTACTAGTAGGTTTACCGGGGACACAAGTCTGTGTGGGCCGCTAGAGCCATAACATAGCTTGTTGTAACCTGTAACACGCTAGTCATAATACTGTAATAGTAATATATACATAGTAGTACGTAGTAGTATTTACATACATACATGATGGGCACAAATTAGCTAATAAACTATAAGACCTCCAAGTTCCACCTATACCATATTCCCTGCATAAGCGGCAGAGCTTTAATTGCAGAGTGAAATTGTGGGTTTACAATGTGTTAACTTATTTGTAAAGCATTGACGTAGAACGCATGCACAAATTAACGAAATTTTGGCCATCGTTTCCAGGAGCTTAGCTAAGAAATTTTTGCCGGGGATTGGGGGAAGCCACGTGTGTGGTGTGTTCTGAGAAGGTGACCGCCAATTGACCGCGTAATTTATCTACATTTCTCTAGTGGGTGGGCAACTGCTGTTTATCGGCAACTGCCTCCTTGCCCCCCGCTAACTACAGCCCTGATTTCTTGTGGCAAACGGTCACTCATACCGTGCCAGTATTTCTGAGTAACAACATACATCACTACCTCTAAATGAACACTTCTTTCAATTTGTGCATAGGTGTGAAGTTATTGGGTAAAAATACTTTAAACTGCATTCCTCAACGGAAAGCACACTATAGCTACCAGTTCCTGATTTTACATTATAAATGTTTAAAAAGTTCCTAATTTAGCATGTACCATTTTAAAATAACCTCATATTGTAATAAACTAGCCTTGAGAAAATAATAACCTATTAACTCGACTCGCTTTTGCCGATGTAAACATCGGAATGCAACATTCGAACAACGAAGCGTTTGTTTATGTTGGATCTACCTGATCAAAATTATTAATATAGCAACGACTGTGTTATTTTGTTATTTTTAATACATGAATTTCTGACAAGTTATGCAAGTTTTATCCATTTGAATATCGAGGATTATTTATAGTACAATTTTATTAAAAATACGTAAACAAGGATGGAATCCACGTTAGAGCATTTTATCAGTACATCGGTATATTGTTATTCGAACGGTATACACAGGGCATGAAATTAGCCAAAATGTGAACAGGCCCACCCAAAATTTTAAACAGGCCCTTAGACAAATTGAACAGGCCCTTACAAGTTTGAACAAGCTCTTAATTTTGTTCAATTTATTCCATTATTAATAAAACTATTAGCTTTGTGTTTATTAGGCATACTCATAGTATTTATTTGCACAGTTTGTACAGTAGTGTAGAGTCTTAGTGAAGTAAAATCTAGTCAGGAAATTGGTAAATATTGTTGATATAAAGGCAAGATAGGCAAAATTTTGAATAGGCCAAGTGGACTGATTATATGGCAGTTGAACCGGCAGTTTAGGGGGTTGAACCAGCGATTTAGGGGGTTGAACATGTGGCCACCGGCAAAATAGCGCTAATTTCGCGCACTGTATACCGATATATTTTCTTTTATAGAAAACTATGCTATCAGTCGATTAATAGCTATACAAATGTCTGTCTTTTAACTCATTACAGTTGTTAGTTTCGATATTCATGAGTTGCTAATGGGCTCTGTTTTACAATTTTTATCAGTACAAATATTGGCAATTTTTTGTTGTTCACCGATTGATAATTAATGTGTGATTGTATATAACTTGTATTCGTGCGTCTTATGCACAAATAAATTTCTTTGATTCTTTTGAAGCTCTTGGCAGGGCCCGCACATATAGATTCCGAAAAAATACTGCTTAAGGGTACATTCAGGGTTGTAGGCGAAATTTGGTCAAAATTTCAATACCCATTTTATTTGATAGATGGCTCCTCTGGGCAGCTATGTACGTGGTCTCCCAAATAGTTGAAAATTCCTGCATATGCTTACCTGGCTATTGCGAACCCCGGAACACCCTTTAAATAGGTACGTCATTAGCGCACACTATCCCAGAATGCACTGCGTCTCACCCCCGCATGTGAATCAGAAAAGCTGTTAAAGTAACCATTGCGAGAGTTTTCCAGTGTTTTCACCACTTTCATGACACCTACCGTTATTGCTTGAGTAACAGCAATTGTCTAGAGTAACAATAAAATGTCTTAGAACCTTCGTATTCACCGAAAACTGCCAGTTTCGAACTAATCGTTTTTTGTAAACATTCGTTTTCTGTCATCTTGAACTAACAGGTAATATGGATTAGCTTGTGGCATCACCGCTTATCTGCCATAGACATAGTACAGACATGCACTTGTTTTCAATTTATCACCGACACAAATACAAGTTCACCAATTCTGCCATTAGGCATTATCGGCATACAATAAAATTTATTGCTGTTACGATGTGGTAAAATCCATTTTTCTATGCTATAAATGCATAAAATCTTAGTATTTTTAATGTTGGTGTAATCAGTGATAGATACTTCCGCTGTCAGGTGAGACTATAATCAGCTTTATTTAGTTTTTCTGAGCAAAAATCTCGCAATAACCGTCTTAAGCTCTTGAAGCGCACTTTTGTTTACATCGAGATGATAACGTCACTGCGTGTATTAATTAGTGGGCGGTGAATGCGAGATTAAAACAGATCAGTTATTTTGTCATGCTATTTATAACAACACGACTGTTTTTTAAATTGTAGAGGTTAGTGGGTGGTGGATCGAAGTTGGAGAAGTTTGAGGAAGGTTGAAGAGATAGCAAGATGGTAGGGAATTGGGGGGGGGAGGGTGGAATGGAGGAAGAGGATGAAGGTGGCGAAAAGTTAAACTTAAAGAAGAGGGAGGGGAATAGGCTCGGCAGGTAGGGAGAGAGTAGAACTTGCAGAAAATGTAGTGTGAAATAGGGTGAGAAGGAATGAGGAGGAGATCGAGGCGATGTGGACGCGAAAGTAGACGGAATCATGGCAACTTGGAGGATGGAGGAGTGGGAAATACTTCCGTGCATCACTGGACCTAGCAGTAGTATGCTGTCTTGTTTGTCTACTAGGATGGGGTCACATACAATTAAAGATGGTGAATGATGTCGCAATGTTCGTATTACATGTTCAACGTTGTTCCTGTTACCAACACTAGCTCATTAAATTTCTGGCTCTTGTCATCTGCTGCCATCTGGTAACAAGCTCAAGCCAGTTAATTCAGCTTGATAGAAACAACTACACTAGTTGTTGGAAACGAGATTTATTATGAAATAAGTGCACTATTACAGGGGTAGAATTTTACTTTTGAACAAGGGAGTCCGCAGTCTGAAGTTCAAAACTAAAGATGCAAACTAAATAACGCCGCGTGTGGTTATTTTGAAGATTCATGCTGTTGCACGGCTGCCAAATTTTCTTTGGACGTTTGTTGAAAAAACATGGTAATTCTGCGAGGCCGAGCTCTGGAACGAACTAGTTATTATAGCATAATTTTTAGGGAGTCATACAGACTCCTGCATATGTCAAATCAGGGAGTCCAACAGTAAATCAGGGAGTATTTGACTCCGGACTCGCGTTAATTCCTCACCCTGCTATTATATAATGAATAAAGGTCTGACAGTCATATACAGAGTAATTTACTGAAGTGCCTGTGTATAGATTTCTCCTATGAAATACTGGTATATAAAACATGCTGGATTCATCATCTGTGATGTAATACTATATTATAAACAGAGTCATCTCTTTCCGCAACCTCATCATTATTACTGAGCTCTTTAACTTCTTACATGTGGTATTTACATTTTCTCACTTTTAGCACTTTATGGTGCGGTGCTAAATCTTTGATTTGCATTTTCCTTTGGCGTTGGCTATGATAAAACAATTTTATCTAAAATGTCAATAAATTCACATTTCTAAAATGTATTTCTGTGCGATTTTTAACCAATAGCAAGCATATTTTATGGTTCAGTATTTGTCTCTATGGACTGCCTGTGTCCCTCTCTTCGTCTACCAGCAAGTTTCCAACTCATTGGTGTGTCATTTCGGTTTTTAGTGATGATCAATGGTTTTTTACTTTTTCACGCATCTTTACATGTCTGCAATAAATGGTTTCTTAGTGATGAAAGGTTTTTTACTTTTTCACGCATCTTTACATGTCTGCAATAAATGATTTTTTAGTGATGATGCTTTTTTCTACTTTTTTACGCATCTTTACATGTCTGCAATAAATGGTTTCTTAGTGATGAAAGGTTTTTACTTTTTCATGCATCTTTACATGTCTGCAATAGATGGTTTCTTAGTGATGATGGTTTTTTACTTTTTTACGCACCTCTTTACATATCTGCACTAAATTGTTTCTTAGTGTCAGATGATGCTTTTTTTAAACTTTTTTACGCGCCACTTTACATGTGTCTGCAATAAATGTTTTCTTAGTGATGATGCTTTTTTCCCTTTTTTACGCGTATTTACAGCTGATGTTGCCATGTCGACCAGAAGCGTGCGTGCACGCGAGGTGCTGCTAGTATGGCCGGAGGGTCGAATGACGCAGGGCGTACTCTACACTACGAACGGGAACTAACAAAGCAACTGATCGAGGTAGGCTTGCTCTCTGTTGAAGCCAGAGAAAAAGAAAAAGAAAAGAAGAAAAAATAAAAATTCTAATTCTATAGTGTATTTTGTATTTTTCGGTTTTTAAGTACAAAAATAGTCGTACGCTAATGCTCCGGTTTTATGGAAGTGATGTGCGCCGGATGAAACGTTCACGAGGTGAATTAGCGTCATGTTATTCACGTTTGACCGCAGGAGCTGCTCCAGACTGACCTAGTGACCCTAGTGGACACGAAGTATCGTCTGAGCCCTGAACCCACGTGGGCTTGTTGAACGCATGCACTAGCCGTTAAAAAACGCAGACCACATAAACAATAGTAATTAACCCAAAGATACTCCCACCGCATGCAGGCAGGGACATTGGGTCTGTGCTGCGTTATCTTGCATGTTATTACCTCGGCAACGGAGTTGCAGGGAGGTAATGTGACACCTCCCGTGTGATGTTCGTGTGTGCGTGTAGCCAGCAGCGAGCCAGCAGCAGCAGCGCGATCGATTCAGCACCAGCTCGCCTTAGGCCGCCTAGTCAGCAGCAGCTCGCCTTAGAACGTCCAGGCAGCAGCAGCTCGCCTTAGAACGTCCAGGCAGCAGCAGCTCGCCTTAGAACGTCCAGGCAGCAGCAGCAGCAGCGAGCCAGCTGTTATACACATGTATACATGTTACACGCTCGCGGAGGTATGCACTCTTTTTGAGTGCCCTCTGTCTAGTTGTATTTGTAGAAAAAACGGATATTTTTAAAACATGTAAACAACGGAATAGAAGCTTGGTAACAAACCTGTCTGTGTGGGACACAAAAATATTGGGTCACATTGCGGGAAAAAATCGAGAACAATTGATCGGTTTACGGACCTAATGCATGCATGTGTTGGTGTGTGTGCGTGCGTGCATGCGTGCGTGCGTATGTGTGTGCTGTGTGCGTGTGTGTGTGTGTGTGTGACTGTGTGTGCGTGTGTAGAAGCTCGCAGGCATATTTAGAAGCTCGGTCGTATTTCTGGGGGGGTGGGGAGGGGGGGGGAGTTGTGTGCCACACGATAGCTCAACATAGCCGTCTGGCTGTGCTTGCATATGATATGTGTGGCCGTTATACACCAGAGTGTCGGCATGTAGCATGTGGCTATAAATTCGTCGCTGGTGCGTAGGCAATGTCTGCGCACGTTTTAGTGGCCGTTAGAGACATGCGTCAATAGGATTATTGAGAAAGGAGCTTTATCCCTTCCTCGTAGAAAGAACACTAATATAATAAGTATCAGATTATGCGCGTATATCCTCTCATTCCTCGCGGGCGAGGGATGTGTGCGTCACTGTCGCCTGTCTCTGCGTTCTCTGACTCCTTATATGGGGTATAGGGGTACATTAGTTGATCTCGCGCATGATCAATAAATACCCAGCAATTATAGGGGTACCCACAGCATAGCTCTGCGAGTGAGTGTTGTTCTCGTTGCGAGTGATGGATGGTGCAGTCCGTGTGATACGAAGTGGCAAAGGTTAGCAGGTAGACAGTGCAGCATTCAGCAGCAGTGTGGCATGTAATGCCGCTGTCTGTGTGTGCGCGCGCGTTCTTGTGAGTGTGTGGTGTGTACGTGCGTGCGCATGCACGCGCGCGTGTGGTTGTGTGTGCAGACGTGCGTGGAAGCGTACATACGTGCGTGCTTGAATGCGTGTGGAGCAAGGAACGTGCGTGCGTGCGTGCGTGTGTGTGTGTGCGTGCGTGTGTGTGCGCGTGCGTGCGTGTGTTGGTATGGAATGGAGAGCGTGCGATGCTTGTGTGTGTGTGCGTGTGCGCGCGCGTGTGTGTGCGTGTGTGCGCGCGTGTGTGTGCGTGTGTGCGCGCGTGTGTGTGCGTGTGTGCGCGCGTGTGTGTGTGCGTGTGTGTGCGCGCGTGTGTGTGTGCGTGTGTGTGCGTGAGCACGTACGTGCGTACGTACGCGCGTACGAGCGTATGGAAAGCATTTTGTTCAAATAGTCGATATACCAGATTTTTGGTCAGTAAACCTGGTTTATCAATCAATAAACTAAGTTTTTAATAAAAACCATAATTATCCTCGAGAAAACCGAGTTTATCGACCAAAAATCTGGTTTATCGAATCTGGTATCTGATTAGTTAAGTTTTCGATAGTACTAATTTCTGATTAGCTGTGTTTGCTGCGGCACGACAAGATCCTGAATGTAAAGATGGCGGATCCGGTACGTTTGGCGTGTTGTTTAAAGGGACAGTAGCCTCTAGGATTTTACTGCATACAACTGTACTTACTGTATAACAAATCGTCTATACCCACACGTATTTGTTACCAGATACCTAATTTAATTGTTATAATTAATTACACATCAACACTACGAAATTTGAACGGCGCCATGACACCCGCGACCGTGCTGCCACCCCGAAAAAGTTGCATATTTGACAATTTATTTTGCACGTTACAGACCGAGGGCTAATCACAAAAGTGCAATTATATTTATACCTAAATGCTATTTAACCGAACGATATTCATTTTAGGGCAAATTTATCCATATTATAACTGAAACTATATGTCGTTTATAAGATACTAGCTGGAACCCGCGCTAAGCGCGGGCTTAGTGACTGTGATGCATGTGGTACCGACTGTTCAATACCCAGAGAGATAAGAGAAGAGATTGACCTTGACATTGACATTTAACTTCATTATTACATGCTTATTTCTACTTACATTATTGCGCTTACAAAAATGCCTGTGCATGCAGCACAACGTTGACAGACGGCGAAATATTACAGCACAACGTTCACAGACATCGAAATATTAGCAAGGCAAAGATATAGCAGCCCCTATTTTCAGGCAAATCTTTACCATTTTTTTTGTCTTTTTTAAGCCCTTTTTACCGTTTTCAATCTAGTAACGTTTAGAACTTGTCCCGTGTATTCATCGATCTCTTCTGTGAATTTGGCGCTATTTGGATCAAAACTGACGGAGCCTTTCATTAACATACATACATACATACAACATCCGCCAAATTATAGTAAGATTACAATCCTTTTGCTTTTAAATGAATAAATAAGAAACACCATCGGTTTGTAGCCCTTGGCTGGAAAATGGTTTTGCGCAACTTATCAGATCGTGCGCTTTGAGTGGCGCCATTGTTGTTGTAATCAAACTGTAGTCGTTAGTTTTAAAACATTTTTTTTTAATATTTCTAATAGTGATTGAACCATGAAACTTTTTATGTAGCGTAATTATAACCTAAATTAGCTGAAAATAACCCTAGAACCTAGAGTAAACTCTCCCTTTAATTTAATTTAATTTTGTAATAGTTTGCGCAGCCCCTATACCAAACCTGATATCTGATTGGTATCTGGTGTATGATTTACACTTAACGACATTTGAAATTCGATTTGTTTTTAAGTCAACATAATTATGTTGTCTTTTTTAACTAATTGACTTTTATATATCGATTTCTAACATAAGTGGACTTAAATATCACGCCAAGTTCTTTTACGTCTAGTCGACATAATAAAATCGATTTTATTAGAGAAATTTCGATAAGCCGACTTTAAAAAATTGATATGTTGAGCTGGAACACAACAAGTGGGGATGTCCGTAAACGTTTCCGTATGTAACTGTCAGTTCGTTATAATGTCCAGGTCATTTTATACATATATGCCGATTTCGATAGTTCGATTATCTGTTCGATAAACCTGGTTTTTGGTTTGATAAACCTGGTTTTTGGTTCGATAAACCTGGTTTATTAACCAAAAACCTGGTTTATCGACGAAAAACTAGGTTTATCAAACAAAACCAGCATTATCGAGTAAAAAAGCGGGTTTATCGAAATAATCAGTTCCTTTTTCGAAAAACCTATAAACCAGGTTTATCGGTCGATAATGATAGTTTCGTCGATAAACCAGGTTTTTGGTTTGATAAACCAGGTTTTTTGTTCAATAAACCAGGTTTTTGGTTTGATAAACCAGGTTTATCGACCAAAAACCTGGTTTATCGACTTATTGAACAAAATGTATTCCATACGAGCGTGCATGCATGTAAACTGCAGTACTACATACATTGTATCACTTGCACCACTAAATTATTTATATTCTACTGCATGCCTTGATTTCTGGCCTCTGCATGTACGTAACCTGAAGCCAAGAATCAATAATCTCAAAGACATATGATCTCTGAGATTATTTACTTCTGATAATGTGTAACCATGTACATGTACGTTTAGCTGTATGTAACCCTGTAAACATGTACACATAGTTGTATGTAACCATGTACATGTACGTTTCTAGCTGTATGTAACCCTGTAAACATGTACATGTACACGTAGTTGTATGTAACCATGTACATGTACGTTTAGCTGTATGTAACCCTGTAAACATGTACATGTATGTACATATAGTTGTATGTAACTATGTACATGTACGTTTAGCTGTATGTAACCCTGTAAACATGTACATGTACACGTAGTTGTATGTAACCATATACATGTACGTTTAGCTGTATGTAACCATGTAAACATGTACATGTACACGTAGTTGTATGTAACCATATACATGTACGTTTAGCTGTATGTAACCATGTAAACATGTACATGTACACGTAGTTGTATGTAACCATGTACATGAATTCATATTGCTTGCTGCTGCTGCTGCTGTCGCCGCTGCTAGCTGCTGCTGTTGCTGCTGCTGTTGTTGCTGTTGAATTAGGCAGTAGTCCATATGGTTATTACTCTGTATAAAGATACTAAATTGTCAGCACATAAACTAACCCTCAGACATGGACAGAACACGTATTACAACAGCTACAACAACAACAACAGCAACAACAACAACAACAACAACAACACCACCATAATAACATCAAAACAAAAACAACAACAAAAACAACCGTAGCCACAACTTGGAAACAGTGACGGGAAAGAAGTTAGCAAATGGCAATCCCCTCTCACTAATTATATTAATATATCAAGGTTAATAATGACTACAATATATGTGATCTTGCTTACAGTTGCAAACCACTGGGCAGCTGACGGCTGAAGCATGGGTTCGGAGATGTCTTTGCCGAGTGCTGCAGGAACAGACCACCTGTGGCAGGCAAACAGCGCGCACAGCGTGAATGACTCACGGACGCACACGCTGACTGTCGCAGAGACAGAGTGGACTGCTCGCATCTGACTGCGAACTAAGGTAGCGCGCTTGTGTGTGTCTGGTGTGTGGGCATGTTCTGTGTGTGCGCGTGTTGTGCGTGTGTGTGTGCGTTGCCGCGCGCGCTCAGTTGGTGTGGTCGCGGTGCGCGCGTGTGCGTGATGTGTGTGTTCTTGTGCGCACGCGTCGTGGTGTGTGTGCTGCGTGCGCGTTGGTGCGTATGTGCGTGGTTTTGCGTGTGTGTGTCTTGTGTGCTGCATGGTGTGTGTGCGTGTGTGTGGGCGTGCGCGCGCGCTCGTGTGGGTGTTGCGTGCGCCGCAGCGCTCCGTGTGTGTGGTGCGTGCGCGTGTGTGGCGTGTGTGTGGCTGTGTGCGCGCAATTCGACGAGGTAAAGCCTCGTTGTGTGTGTGCGTGCGGCGTGTGTGCGTATTGCCGTGTTTGCGTGGTGTGTGTGTGTGTGTGTGTGTTGCGTGTTGCGTGCGTGTGTGTGTGTGTGACTGTGTGTGTGCGTGCGTGCGTGCGTGTGTGTGGCGTGTGCGTGTGCTGTGTTGCGTGCGTGGCGTTAGCGTGCATTGCGTGTGCGTGCGTGGGCGTCGTCGCGGCGCGCCGCGCGCGTGTGTGTGTATCTGTGTGTGTTCGCGTGTGTGTGTGTGTGTTGTGTGTGTGTTGTTGTATGTGTGTGTTGTGTGTGTGATGTTTGTGTGTGTTTGTGTGTGTGGTGTGTTTTTGTTGTGGTGTGGTGTGGTGTTGTGTGTGTGATGTGTGTTCGTGGTGGTGTGTGTGGTGTGTCTCGTGTCGTGTTTGCGTGCGTGTGTGTGTGTCATGTGTGTGTGTGCGGTGTGTGTTATGTGTGTGTGTGTGTGTGTGTGTTGTGGTGTGTGTGTGTGTGTGTGGTGTGTGTGTGTGTGTGTACGTGCGTGGGTGTTTGTTTGTGGTGTGCGTGTGTGCTGTGTTTGGTTGTATTATGTACGTGGGTATCAGGTGTAAAGTGTATGGTTGTATGTCGCATGGGTGTGGCGTGGTAAGTGGATTGCTGTATGTGTTTAGTGTGTGGGTTGTGAGCTGTATGGTAATGGGTTTCCTCTGATATATGTATGGCCAGTAATTGCCCCCGCCTGATCAATGGTGAGGTTATTGTATGGCTGTTGTTTTCATTGCATCATGTACGTTCGTCTTGGGTGGTTGTGCTATAGGCCTACGGTGAATTGTTCATTGTAACATGTGTGTGTGGTTATGGTGTGAGTGTATGGTCTGTCATGTGTCTGGTTGTATGCGTGGCTTGGGGGTGTGAGGTATGGATGTGTTGTGTGTAGCAGTTTGGTTGTACAAATATGCACGTGTGCGTCCGCGTGCGTGCCGTGCGTGCGTGCATGCGCGGTGTGGGAGTGTGATGGCTGAAACGTTAGATTTAACAGTGTGGTGTGCGGTGCCCTGCGTCCGTGAATTTGGTACTGCCCGTGCGTCTATGTGCTGGTGTGTTGTAATCACTGTCGCATGGTATATTGCAATGTCTCTAAAATATAGAAATTCACCTCGCACGTCGGTGTTGATCGATACCCAGATCTAGCTACCCCGTGAATCAATAAACAGCCACCAGTAAGTTAATGCAAGTTCCCACCGGACGCGCGACGAGTGGGACTAGCTCGACATACGTGAACGGCCGTGTCTAGTAGATGCTATGATGTTTGCTCTCCTATTAGGGTCTCTTATCGAGGTCTCCCATCGCACCCACGCACCGCTCCCCCGTATTATAGTAGCGGGCGCCATCACTGAGGCCCCACACCGCATTGCATGCATTGCATGCGCGCGAACGCCGCTAGTCGTTAAAATAATGAATCTCAATCGGAGGTAAAAATTGCGGTTCCGTAGTTCGGAGGCACGCGCGGGCTCCGTGAAAATTATTGGGTTGGCTGCCGCGCGCGGCTGGCGGCGCGCTCCCGGCAGACACGGCAATGAGCGGACGTAGAGTGCTCCCCGCGGCACGCGTACCGACGTGTGCGCGCGCGCGCGTGTGTGTGTGTGTGTTGTGTGTGTGTGTGTGTGTGGTGTGTGCGCTGCGTGGTGTGTGCGGTGCGGTGCGCGAGCGTGCGGTGCGTGCGTTTGTGTGTGTTGTATGTGTGCGTCTGTGCGTTTTGTGCGTGTCGTGCGTCTGTGTCGTTTGTGCGTGTGTGTGTGCGGTGTCGTGCCGAGCGGTCGCGATGGGCGTAGCGCTGCGTGCGTGTGGCCGCGCGTGCGTTTGGTGTGTGTTGATGTGTGTGTGTGTGGTGTGTGTGTGTGCGCGTGTGCGCGGTGTGCGCGTGTCGCTTTGTGTGTCGTGCGTCGCGTGCGTACGTGCGTGCGTGCGTACGTGCGTGCTGTGAGTGTGTGTGTGGTGCTGTATGCACCTGCATGTCGTGTGCTGTTCTGCGTGTGTGTGTGGTGTGTGTGTGTTGCTGTGTGTGTGTGCGTGTCGCGTTTGTAGTGTGTGCGTGCGTACGTGCGTGCGTGGTTGTGTTGTGTATTGCCACCTGCATGCGTGTGCGTCTGCCGTGTGTTGTGTGGTGCTGTGTGTGTGGTGTGTATGGCGCGTGTGCGGCGTTGTGTGGTGTGTGGTGTGTGTGTGTGTGTGTGGTGTGTGTGGTGTGTGTGTGTGTATGTGTGGTGTGTCTGTGTGGGGCCTTACGTGCGTATGCGCGAGCGCATATATGCTTAGGATAGAACACTACATGCCTGTATGTGTTTTCGCCAGGCTGAAGTGGAATAGGCTACAGGGCCCTGCTAGAACCTCTGAGCTGAGCAACCACCGCTTCCCAACGCGAACCTCTGACGAGGCCAAGTCCCAGCCGTCCGGCACATCTGCGTAACGTTACTCGAGGTAAGCACTAGGTCTGTTACTCATCCTGTCTCACCGTCACTACTCCACAACAAAGCTCCTCCTACATCTCCTCTTCAACGTGACAATAACCCACTGTGCGCAGTACACGTTGACCACAACTGAGCAGACATGGATGAAGTGTCCAGCTCCAGCTACTGCAACACATCTGTGAAAAAGTATGCCAGCCTATAAATGACCAACTGCATCGGTTTATGTACCGACATTCATGATTGGGTACAATTATTTATTGATCATCATCACATGCAAAACTACAATAATTGATGACTTTTTTGTTTGTTTATTGACCATTTATTTATGTA